GAAATGATTGGGATTTCAAAAAATGTTCATGTATTATAATTTGTTTGGAGTTCAATCAATGTTCCCGTTTTCATATTCTTTTCAAAAAAATTCAAAAAATGATAGTCTTATGCTTCTGTTACAAAAATGTTTGTTGTTTCTCCATTTCTTGTCTGCAGTTGCAAAAAACGTTCATCGTTCCAACATTTGTTTGTGTTTCCATAGAATTTTGGAATTATAAAAATGTTCCGTTTTTAAAAAATATTCGCGTTTCAGAGTTGTTCATGGTTTTAAGAAAATGTTTCAGTTTATTATATATTTGTTCAAAAATCGGAAAAGTGATTGGGATTCGCAAAAAATCACGTTTTGTTTTCAAAAAGAATATTTTACGTTGGAAGTTTTTAAAAATATTCTGCGTTGTTCTTGTCCTTAAGGCTTCGCGCTGCAATTTAGGAAAAAACGGTTGCTAGGCGAGCTGGTTGTACCACGTTGCCGTAGTCCGGAGTTCCGTGCATATACGACTACACACCATAGATATAGGAGTAAGTATGACTTGTGAGATGACTATATTACCCTTTATACGTTTTAGCGGGTTGTACCGAAGCGGGTCGCGTGTATCAGACATATGTCGCTGGAAACGAACCCCCTCCGTGGGGATTGAGTTATGTGACCGTCTCCATGCAAAGTTCTTCAGTTTCGCTTGCATCCTAGTGCCCCATAGAGTACACCATTGCTTCTTTGTTGCTTGCTAGTCGGACATGTTTCCAGTCCCCTCCAGCCACTCTTCTCTTCTGCGCTTTGTTTCCTTGAGCATTCTATAGCATGATCTCACAGAAAAAAGGCCATTGTGCTCATAGTGCCACACCCAGCTATCTTCCATTGGGATTGATGACAATGGGATATTAAGTATTTCAGAAGCATCTATAGATTGCATATGTTGTTCCACACGATCCCTATTCCATCTCCTCTCCACAGTATCTATCAACTCAACCACATTCTTTGGAGGGTTTAAACTATTCGGGTGAAGAGCTCTCATCATAAAATTCCTAGGGATCCAATTCTGATTCCAGATGCTCGTTGATTTCCCATCTCCGATTCTTCTGATTAAACCCTTCTTAAGCACTTCCTTTCCTTCATAGATTGCTCTCCATATCTGTGATGGATGATTTCCTAGTTCAGATTCCAGAATATCACAAGAGGGATAGTAGACTGACTTAAGTAATCGGGCACTTAAGGATTCAATATCTTGAGTTAGGCGCCATGCTTGTTTGGCCAACATTGCAAGGTTGAACAAATGTGTATCTCGAAACCCCAATCCGCCCATGTACTTTGGCATAGTTAGCACATCCCAAGACACCCACGCTGCTTTCCTTTCTCCGTTTTTACTCCCCCACCAAAATTTCCGAAGCATTGTATCAATAGTTTGGCATAAGCCTCTTGGAAGTAGGAAGCAAAACATGGAGAAAGTGGGAATCGCCTGAGCTACCGACTTAATCAACACCTCTTTACCTGCTGCAACAAGGCACTTTTCAATCCATCCTTGGATTTTCACCCATAAACGGTCCTTTATATACTTAAATGCCCCATTAGTAGATCTTCCTACCTCCGTAGGCAGCCCCAAATATTTCTCTCACAACGATTCATTAGTGACTTCCAGGATCCCCTTCACCACACCTCTCCTTCCTTCAGGACAACCCTTCCCAAATAAAATGCTTTACTTCGAGAGATTAATTCTTTGCCCCAACGCCTCATAATATTGCTGGATAGTGTCACGGACCATTGTAGCACCTTCCGTGCTAGCCTTGAATAGAAAGTAAGCAATCATCTGCAAATAACAAATGATTTACCAGAGGTGCTGACGGTGCAATCACTACTCCCTTTATATTTTCATTACTACTCTTGGAATTTAATAAACAAGAGAGGCCTTCAGCTGCTAGTAAAAATAAGTATGGGGATATGGGGTCTCCCTGTCTTATACCTCGTGAAGGTTTGAAATCCTCTGTCCTGTTGCCATTTACAAGAACTGAAAATGAGACAGATGAGACACAATTCATGATCTTGCTTACCCATGAACTCCGGAAGCCAAGTTTGATCATCACAACCTCCAAATACTCCCACTCCACGTGATCATATGCCTTCATCGTATCCATCTTTAGGGCACAATGTACATTCTTCTTACTCCTAGAACGTTTCATAAAGTGCAAACATTCGTATGCAGCTATGATGTTGTCGGTGATTAACCTTCCAGGTACAAACGCAGACTGCTCACGTGAAATAATCTCCGGCAAAATTCTTTTCAAACGGTTAGAGTGTACCTTTGATATGATCTTAAAAATCACATTGCACAAACTAATCGGGCGAAACTGAGTTAAGGAGGTTGGATTTAATACCTTAGGGATCAAAACAATGAAAGTCCTATTAACCACCTCCAGAGACTCTTCCCCATTAAGCACTCTTAGAACAACCTTGGTAACTTCATCACCACAAACACCCCAGTTTTTCTGAAAAAAGTGTGCTGGGAAGCCATCTGGTTCCGACGCCTTTGTCGGGTACATCTGAAATGATGCTTCTTTCACTTCAACATCCTTGTACGGGGCACATAGCATTTCATTCATTGCATCATCCACCTTCATGGGTATATGTGATAGAACTTCCTCCATGCCTATGGTACCCTCAGAGGTATACAGATTTTTATAAAACTCATTTGCCATATTTTTTTATTTCTTCCTCATCATTACCTACTATGTCGTCATGTCTAATGAGATTCGATATACGGTTTCTTCTCCTTCTCATGCTAGCCTTCAAATGAAAAAACTTTGTGTTGCCATCACCTTCTGCTAGCCACTGAATTCTTGACCTTTGTCTCCACATGACTTCTTCCCTAAAGTTTAGCTCAACAATCCTTTCTAATACTTTAGTCTCCTCATATGATGGCCCCACTCTGGATACATCAGACTGCAGCTCAGCAAGCCGTCATTTAAGATGACGGAGCTCAGCTCGGACATGGCCGAACGTTTTGGAACCCCAGTTTGACATTGTTCTAGTTAGCCAGTCCAGTTTTGCTTTGAAATCCTTCAGTGTCACTCCTTTTTCCATAGACCAAACCCGATCCACCATAGGATAAAAATCATCATGGGTTTCCCACATTCTCTCGTACCGGAACAATTTCTCTGTAGCAATACAATTTCTTATCTCTTCTAGCTCATTACAAAGAACAATTGGAGAGCGGTCTGACTTTGCTGCTTGAAGATGACAGAGTGATGCAAAAGGGAACCTACTGCTCCATTCAGAACTGGCAAAGGCCCTGTCAAGCCGCACCCTACAATATTGTCCTCCTTGTACCTTCTTCTCAAAAGTCCAGTCAAGGCCTTTATAGCCTATGTCAGCCAAGCCGCACACATCCACGACCTCTCTAAACCCTGCCATCTGGGCACCATCTCGCTCATTTGGACCTAGTTGTTCTTCTCTTATCAAAATCTCATTAAAGTCACCTATGCACAGCCATGGAAGAGTCGATTCACCTCGCAGCCTTGTCATAGTATCCCAAGTATTTTGTCTAAGTGATCTATTTGCTTCACCATAAAAGCATGTTAACCGGCAATCCTCCTTCCCTGGTTCAGCAACCCAAGCATCAATGTGATAACGAGAGAAATTTTTAACTCTAATATTCAGCCCATCCTTCCAAAAAACTGCCAAGCCTCCACTCCCCCCACTGCTAGCCACCGCAAAACCCCCTTCGAAACCCAAAGTTGTCGTCAGGCCTTCCACACGCTGTTTTGATAGTTGTGTTTCCACAATACAAACCACCGACGGCGCACACTCCTGAATGAGCTCCCGGAGCTCTCGGACCGTCGCGGGGTCGCCAATCCCACAACAGTTCCAACACAACGTTCTCATTGGGCTTGGCGGCCACCCACACGGGATACCGCCTCGGTCAAAAGATCATCTTGCTCTCCCTCATCACCTTCACCCTGACGCCTCCTTTTAACAATTGGCTGTTTACCCGGTGTCCCTGTGACAATATCATTGTTATCCGGGGTCGACTCAATCATCAAAATCTTCTCAGCAACAATGCCCGGCTGGACCGGCACGGGCGGTTGTCCTGCTACATTGACAGTTCCATCAGAGCTCACCAGGCGCTTCCATGCATTTGGTACCAGAACACCAGACCGTACATCTTGTGAGCTATACTCCATGTCAGTAGGTTCGTTACCGTCTCCTTCCTCGTATGTGCACCTTTTCGTGTTTTTCGTGAGAGTTTTTTACTAGGCCGCGCGTCTGTTCGTGGGCCGGCCCATGAGGTGGCGAGGTGGGCGCGTTGCAGGCGCCAGGTACCTGTTCAGGTGCTTAAGGCGCTGAACAGGAGCTCCCTGTTTCCTGAGGAAAGCGTGGCCACGGGCGGCTGGAGCTGGGCCTGGGACTGGCCCGTATAAAATGGTACATTTTGGGCTGATCCGGTTACATTTGAACGTTACAGCAGACCAATTGCATACCAAAATGTGGCCGTGCGTTCCTCTAAAAAAATAAAAATAAAGAAGTAGCTAAAAATGCAATAAAGTTCTATATGAAAAAAAATCCATGTTAAAAAATCATTAGCAGAGTATTTATTTGGCTAATGATGGTTTTCTAGTACAAATTTCCCAACCATGAAAAAAAAATCGAAGAAGACACCAAAATTACAAGTACGTCAAATAAAATGACAAAAAGATAATAACTGGATTTTATGGATAGTTATGTCAATCAAATGTAAATTTAAATTTGAAATAAGGCTTGCAGAAATCTAGAAACCCATAAAATTTTCATTCCTTTGAAAAATCCAGCCAAAAGCAGGAAAAACAATCATATTTATCTAAATAAATAAATTTGTTTAACATTCCACTATTTTTAAGTCATCACAAGAATCTTGTCTTAATCGAATTGAAATACATCATACATTATTGGATGGCGAAGTATAAAAATAACATGCTTCCACTTTCCCACACAAAAAAGAGAAACTTCTTGTGGCTGAGTTATCTGCAAAACTAGAAGTTCGCATTATAAAACTCAAACTTTGTGCTGGTCTTTCTCGAGAAATCATGGGCAAGCTCGCTCAACTCTTTTGTCAGCACCGGCGTGCCACAGTAGAATACTCCTGTGTGATCCAAGAACCGGAGTTAGCGTTAACTCCTAAATGTAACGATATGTGCTAATGTGCGGGAATAAAAATTTGATGTTTATTGATCACTCTAGTTGTTCACTGCCCACAAAGTATGTATTTAGTTTTGATACTGACCAACGCGTTGTTCACTGTGCCTGAGGGCAATGCGCTCATAGACACCCCGCCAGTTTGGTCGGCCGAAATGGGTCTTGACGCGAGCACCGGAGACCACGTCGACGCCGTGCTTGGCGTGGTTAAGGGACTGGAGCAAGGAGATGAGCGCCGACCGGTTGTCGCCCTCCTCGTAGACGTTGCTGCAGTAGTTATGGAGCTCGATGACACCCTCATTCCCCATCTCCACCATCTCGTCCATGAATCCACGAAACCACTCAAAGGAGGCTTGCTCCCGGGTGATCCAGTAGAAGTAGGAACGACAAGTTTGGGGGGTGCTAGATTCGCCATCCCTGCAGTTGGGTAGCTTCATGTTGTTGACGATGTCCTTGACGAGGGGAGATCATGGTGCGGCACCGACGCTGGTCCCCACTAGTAGCACGGTGTCATACTGCTTGTAGTCCTGCGTCGGGGCACTATATGGCCCGTCTATCACCACTTTCAGCCGATACAATTAGGACACACATTTCATTAAACTTGCGTGTACCCTTCAAGATTGATTGTTTTTATCTTATACCCAAAGTCTCGCGCACACACACCCAAGCACGTCGAAGACGAATTAGATCTCTTATTGGTATTGCACGTGACACACTTACACGAGCGCGCACGCACGGCAGGTAGGCGCACTGCGCACAAGCACGAGCACACACGTACATCGCACGCATGCACGCATGCAAACGTGCACGCGCAACACACACATGCGCACAGACGCAGAGATAAAAGACTAAAATATACCATATATAAGGATATGGAAGAAAATACACAAAAGTAAGGTGGGGCGTGACTGAACCGAAAAAAAACACATGGCCTAATAATAGCAAAAGCGAACTGAAAGTAGTTTGAGTATTTTTTTTCTTTTTGCGAGATCAAAAGGGTTTTATTTCATCATGGTAGAGCTACAATCCTTAGGCAAAAAATCCTCAATACATGGGGGTCCTCTACCGAGCCACATAGCTGTAGCCCGCCCAGAGCGACTATACCTTGCCAGGCAATTTGCAACACTATTTGCGACCTATGAAGTTTCTGTGGAATAAACACCCCATCGATCATTAGGGTCTTAGTTAACAACGAGCCAATTCCTATAACCTCTTGAGATGGCTTCTAGATCCCATACAGCCAAAGTCGAGAAGATTTGCTAGGTAATAATTTGTGTGGCTACTTCAAGGAAAAACATGGGATGTGTTTCTGTGATGCATGTTATCAAATATGTACCTCGGATTGGACGAGCTGTCAAGGCCATACTCCACCCGGATCATCTCGCTCTTCTCCTCTATTGGTGTCGGGCAAACCTGCGATTCATACGTCGCCAAGCAACCCGCACATTGATTAGACCAGGTTGAGAATGTACATGGTTTTGGAGCTTTTAGGGAATGAATGAATGAGGTCGATGTGATTAAGTGCATCTCCAGCAGATCACATAAACTCATTTGCTATCATAAAAACTGCTATATTTTTCCAAATGCTCCACTAGATGACCCAATAAGGGCATGGCCATCGCTCCACTCTGGAAGATGCTCCAGCTATTCACGTTGGATTCTACAGTCCAGCTCATATGAACCTGTTGCTTGCAGACCAAAGTGGTCTCCTGCAGAAGAACCCGTCTCTTGGCTGACAAAAGCTAGAGAAAATGGCCAGAATGACCTTGCTCGTGCCCCTTGCTTGAGTAAAAAATAATGGATGGGTCCCACTAAAAGGGTGGCTAGTGTTGAGTAATCAATGTCACAACGGTGGCCTCATATTGTCTCGCTGAGATGGAGTGCACTGGGGCAGCACCTGGTGCTGCTACCATTGCTCATGCCCTAAGGGCATGGCCAACAATCCACCGTGGACATCTGCCCCAGCTATCCATGTCGGCTCGAGTGGTCCAACATGAAGTATTGTGCTGCTTGTAGAGTCAAGCTGGTTCTTGCAGAATAGTCGGGCCTTACAAAAGAGGAAAAGGTAAAGAGACGGCAAGACAAGTATAGGCATACAAGGGCTCTGTACGATGTGTGACCTTCAGCCACGCTTGGGAATTGATTAAAAAATGGAGGGAGAGATTGAGTGTGGGCCTAGTGAGGCCCCTATGCTTTGGGTGGTTACCACTTCCCGGTGCTGCTCTAACACATTTATCTATTGAGAAAGGCTGGGGCAACATCAAAGTGATGCTTCCATAGTACAGGCCCTAAGCGGTTTGCTATCTATGCAAATGTCAGGTAATAGTCTAAATTTCTCTTTCATCTTACCTAAAAAATGATTAGAGCATCTATAATTGGACCCGTCAAATCTTCACCAAATTTTCGGACAGACAACCTGGTCACCGCCCGAATAGAAGAAGTCACCCAATCGGACCCAGCAAAGCCAGCTCTGGACTGTGTAACACCCCTCAAACTCAGCTCATACGTGGGATGGATATGAAGAGGCTTGGATGCATCCATCACCTCAGATCCGACAAGCCAAACTCATATCAAATCTCTTCAAATCGTCCCCAGCCTAGTCCGACCAGCCCTCTTCCTCGTTTGCACCGCCCCTTCCTAGCTCCGATGCCACCCCAACTCCTAGCTTCGCTGTTGTCCTCAACCCACAATGCTGCAACCAGAGGCCCCAACCCAAAGCGCCATTGTCTTTGCCATCAGCGACGCCGCCTTGGTACGTCCTACTACTTCGGACATATACATCGCCCTCTATGTGTTTGAATGAAATGTTCAAGCTATTTTTCTTATTCTTTTGCTTATTTGTAGGTAAACAATGGATGCGTCGGATGATGACTATGGGAACAAAGACCTCGACATAATTCATGCATAAAGAGTTCGTCGGAGTCGGACGATTAAGATGCTGAAATCATGACGATGAGCACCCAGGAAGAAAGGGAAAAGCAAGAGGAGCATGTTCCAAACTTCTAGGGTTTGATAAAGGTAACAATCAAGTTCTAGATTCTTCCGATCTTATCTCTACTACATTAAAGCTGTTTTTAGGTGACCAAATTTCTGTAGTCTGTTTGAGATGCTCTGACCTTTAGGAAGACGTTGTGGAGCTCCTTGGTCCAATCACCGAGCGTCCTGATGTGGACACTGAGGTGCTCGTCCCGTGGCGCCGACGTGATGTAGAACGGGTGCCTGCACGTTCGTTCATTCATCCATTAATTTTCGCTTCAGTTAATTAAGCAAGTCATGGCCGGGGATGCCGTTGGCTACTCACCACTGGGATCGTGAGACGGCAGGACAATTGAAGAAGATGTACTGCCCGCTCTTGTAACTGAACCCCAGCGGCTTGTTGAAGCGCAGCGACAGCGCGCTCGCAGGGTCAGGGTACACGGCCACCTCCAGTATGTCCACCGACCGCGCGCTGCACCGGAGCGGCCGCGCCATTCGGTCGCACGCGTACAGGGCCTGCCGGCGCCAGTTGCCCCCCAGGGAGTAGCGAGCACGCCTGTACCACCGCCGGAGCGTGCTGGGCTCCGCCGCCCTCGGGTGGAGGTGCAGGCTCAGTTTGCTGCTGAGGGCTGTTCCGGTCGGCTTCGCCGTCTGCAGCAGGAGACTCTCCAGCTCGAACAACTGTAAATCGATTCATCCCACGACATGATCAGTCACACGCCGATGCAGCACGGATGATTAATCTCATGTGGCAAGGGAATTGCGCCATTGTTGTTTGGATCAAAATTAAGGCAACCGGGAACAACTACGTCTCAGTTACCTGGATGTGGCCGAGGTCGTCAGGGTCCAGCTCCTCCATCATGAGCCGGGCGTACTTTTGGGACTGTTGTGTGTCCATGGTTAGTTTGTTTGCATTCGCGCTCAGCATGATCATCTGCATACCAGAGCACAACAACAAAATAATGTAAATATTTTTGGCAGTTCTATTAATGCAAAATCTTAAACCATGAAATAAATATGCAATGTACTCCCTCGTTTCTTTTTAGTCCGCATATAAAATTTGGTCAAAGTTTGACTAAATTTATATTAAGAAATATCAGCATTCACAATACAAAACCAATATTATTAGATACATTATGAAATTAATTTTCATACTGTATAATTTTAATATTGTAGATGTTGATATTTTTTTATATAAATTTGGTCAAACTTTGCTTAGTTTGACTTATACAAATCTTATATGCGGAGTAAAAAGATATGGAGGAAGCATATTAAAAAATAAGAGCTAATCAATGATTACTGGTTTGACAATACGTGTGGACTTGTAGGAAAATGACATGTCAAAGTCATGAGAATGTCCACCCTTGATGCCGCCCTCCAGCGACACCCAGGGGAATCCTAGCACTTCTGCTACAGTCAACCCATTTTTAGTCGTCATGGCCGCTGCTACCGACTTATGGAGTACTCCCTCTGTGAAGAAATAAAAGAGCGTTTAGATCACTAAAGTAGTGATCTAAACGCTCTTATATTTCTTTAAGGAGGGAGTATATTGTAGTGATGGCATGCCACACTCCAATGGTAACTTGGGCTTATTCTCCTGGCAATGGTCATGGCTCGGGCATGGGGACATCGGTTTCTCAGCTCAGCGAAGCGGGATACCGGGCGGTGTACTTGGGATGAGATCACATTTGTGCATCTAACGTGATCTCGGTTGGGTGGTGTGGTGGTCGACAAACCGTGGTATGTAGCCATGAGAAACAGTGACGCATGAGCTGGTCATACGGTGATAGTATACAGGGCGGATGCCCTCGAGGCTTGTTTCCATTGTGCATGACTGTGTGGACGGTTTCATCCTCTTCGAATGCACATAGATATATTTGTATATGGCTTTGGTGGCATGGATGCTGGGGTGGTAGCCATTGGTAATGGTTGCTAGGTCAGGTGTTACGTTATGGCTTCATGCACACGTGGTGGTGATCGTTGAGGCGTGAGGTGCCGCCATGAGGTGGTGTTAAGTGTTGGCGGGGGCGCACAATGTGCAACGGGGTTGTCTTCTCATGGTCTGAGCATCCCTATGAGGCTTGGAGAGAGACTTTGTGCTATGGTCGAAAGCCTTTCATTGACTTTGGTCGATGACGACAAATGGTGGCATGCTTGGGCATTGTTTTTCTTCTTCTTGATGGCAATTTGTGAAGCTCCATTCCTCCCTCGTCACAGGGTCCTATGAACTCTAGGTGAAAAAGCAGGCTCAATTGGAGCAGGTGGCAATGACGTTTATGTTGTCACCTTCTTGGGGATATCGCCTTGGAGCGACACACATTGGAGAGCCGACAATGTTTGTGGGTGTTGCTCGTGGTGCATTACTCGTAGGGCGACATGATGGGTTCTGTTAGAATGGTATGTTAGGACAATGATAGTGAAGGTTGGCGTGGCGGATGTGGTTTGCACACGAGCGACTGTC